CTAAAGAAGTGAGAGCCATGACAAGAACAGACATATGCACACCCATGTTCATCGCAGCACTATTTACAATAGCCAAAAGATGGAAACAACCTAGGTGTTCATCAACTGAGGAATGGATATCCAAACTATGGTACATACACACAGTGGAATACTATGCAACCCCAAAGAATAATGTAGAATTTGAAAAACACTGCATAACATGGATGAACTTGGAGAACATTATGCTGAGTGAAATAAGTCAATCACAGAAGGACAAATATTGTATTAGTCTGTTATGGTAAAAGTTAAGGAAAGGTTTAGATATGGAAGGAAATTTTCTTTGTTGGTTACCAGGGGTGGGAGGGGAAGGGAGGGAACACTGTTAGATAGGTAGAGATAAGTATTGATTTGGGTGAAGAGAAGGGCAATGTACCAAATGTGAGTGATCAACATGGTGGCATTAGGAAGAAGAAGACGTAGACAGATATATGGCAGTACAGATAACAAAGGTGAACCCTTTTGCACATACAGTATTGTGTTGTCAGTGAAGGCAAACATGGGTATATGGGTGGATAGATGAGTGGGCAGGCTGAACTATTAGGTATGTCTATAAAGCGGGGAGTGTACCCAAAACCATGTATAGGATTGGCAGACAATGGTCCTATAAATGTATTTGTATGATCTGTAAGAATTCCCAGGTGTATACTAGATCTGACAAGAGACAAGGTTGTAGTGACTTCTTGGTCACAGCCAGCTACTCAGAGGGACTGAATAGTTGAAGCTGTGGGATTGGAACCATAGTCACAAGGGACATCAAGATCAATTGGCAGAACATACTACATAAAACATTGTTCTACCTCCTATTTTGGCAAGTAGTGACTGGGATCTTAAAAACTTGCAAACAGCCATCTAGATTCAATGATGGGTCTCTCCTCATTCAGAGCAAAGAAGAATGAAGAAAACCAGAATTTCATGGAAACAATCAGTCCTGACAACTGGTACACCATACAACCTGCAGCTTATACGACTATGAGACCAGAAGAACTAGATGGTGCTCAGCTACCACTGTCAACCACTTGGAGGGGGATCTATGTAGGAGATCCTGGATAGAGAGGGAGAACAATGTGGAACAAAACTCAAAATCATGTGGGGGGTGGTGGAAAGGGAGCAGGTTTGCTGGTCTGATAGAGCCTGGTGGAACCACTGAGACTGTGGCCCCTAGCTGCCTTTCAGGTCTGGAATTTAACCCACATCTGGGTTCCAGCCAAACAAAAGACAGGCACATGAGTTTAATATTTACCTGAGTTAGATATACTCCTTGGAGAGAACAATTATGGGAGGAAGAAGGGCTGTTTATGCACAGGGAGACAACTCAGGGGGCAGGAGTGCATGGGGAGATGGACACAGGGAAAAGGTAACTATCAGGAGGGGAGCTGTTGCATTGGGGTAAACTGTAGTAAATGTCATGAGACAAAGTGTATATGAACTGCTGTATGGAAAGTGAATTTGCTTTGTAAATTTTTACCTAAATCACAATAAAACAAACAAACAAAAACAAAACAAACAAAAAACCCACAAAGAAAAAGAAATCAAATGATGTTTTCCATTGGGCAAATCTGCTGCAAATGACCTTTTTGAAGTGTTAAAGAGCAAAGATGTCACTTTGAAGACTAAGGTTTGTCTGATCAAAGCCAGGGTATTTCCAGTCACCTCATAAGCATATGAAAGCTGGACAATGTATAAGAAAGACCAAAGAAGAGTTGACGCCTTTGAATTTTGGTGTTGGCAAAGAATATTAAATATTTTGGATTGTTAGAAGAACAAACAAAGCTGTCTTGGAAGAAGTGTAGCCAGAATGCTTCTTCGAAGTGAGGAAGGAGAGACTTGGCCTCACATACTTTGGACATTTTATCTGGAGGGACCAGTTGCTAGAGAAGGACATCGTGTTTGGTAAAGTGGGGGGTCAGCAAAAAAAGGAAAGACCCTGCCTGAGATGGGCTGACCCTGTGCCTGCCACGACGGGCTCAACTTAGCAACAACTGTGAGGGCAGCATAGGGCCCGGCAGGGTTTCATTTTGGTGGACTTGGGGCCACTAGGAGTCAGAACCGACTTGATGACCCAGAACAACTGGAACATCCTAGTGATGAGTCCTTAGGTGGCGCACCTAGGAATCTATTCAACTGCTCACTGCAGGATGGAGGTTTGAGGCACCTAAGAAGAATGGCCCGGTGATCGACTCCCAGCAAGTCAGCCAATGAAGGCTGTGAAGCCCAGTTCCCCTCTGACACACGGGTTGCCTCGTGTTGGAGCTGACTTGACGGCAACCGGGTGAGTGGCATGGCAGAGACACGTCTCGTTAATGCAAAATTCCCAGAGCGTTCAGGAGGACCTCCGTCATGGGTGGAATTGTGTTCCTCCAAACTGCGTGGGGTCAGTCCTGCCCGTGTGCCTGTGTTTATGGAGCTACTTGGGAATGAGCTCTGTTATGTGAGTGAGGCAGGACTAGAGGAGGTGTATCTTTCACAAGAGATCAAAGGAGAGCAAAGCAAGCAGAGATGAGAAGAGAGAAGCCAAGCCATGTGAAGATCTCCCAGGAGCAGCAGCTCCGAAGAGACAAGGGCCTTCCTCCAGAGCCACACAGGGAGAGCCTTCCTCTAGCCCTGATACTTGGAGGTGGACTTGAAGCCTCCCGAACTGAGAAAACAAATTTTTGTTTGTCAAAGCGACTCACCTGTGGTTTCCTGTAACAGGAGCTCTAGAGAACTAAGCAACATCTTTGGTTTCCTACTTCTGTTTAACGTCTGTATGTTCTGGAGGAAGTGACTGATTCGTCATCCCACGTCAGGATAATTTACTGATGCACAGAAAGTAATTTTACTACTTTAAAGCTCAACTCTATTGCGTATAGTAGTGAATTCAGTTGTTTGGCAGGAATAAAGTAATAATTATAAATACAAAATTACTAAATTATGAATAAAATCTGGCCAGTCACTGGCCAGTTGATTCTGACTCACAGTGACCCCGTGTGCACAGAGAGGGACTGTGCTCCACAGAGCTTTCAAGGCTGTGACTTTCAGGAGCAGATAACCAGGCCTTTCTTCCGAGGTGTCTCTGGTTGGGTTTGAACCACCAGCCTTTTGGTTAGTGGTTGAGCTTGCTTAACTGTTTGCACCCCCCAGGACTCTTAAACTATAAACAGAGTCCAATTACAATGAATGAAACCATCCTGAACTCCTGTCAGATGGATCCTGTACGGAACTGGACATGGTTCGTCAACATTGTGATAAGAACACGTTGCCACAAAGCCACCAAACCAGGGTTGTTTCCTTGACCTTCCTGCCAGGAAACAAGGTTCTAAGTGATGTGTCTGGCCTGGGGCCCTGCCTCAGAGCTCTGATTGCTAGTCTGGCTCAGCCTCCCTGACAGCGCTCTGTGCCTGGCTTCTCACCGGTGGGCTTGAGGAGCACGGCTAGGAAGTCGGTGGTGTGCGAGCTGATGTAGACCAGGACGCAGGGCGCCTTGGCGGTGCTGAAACTGAGGCTGAGCTGTTCCTGGGCCAGATCGGGGGCCGGGCTCTGCGGGTCAGGCACGCTGTTGCCTCTGCTGGGGGCTTCTCTGGCACTGGTCCCTGCAGCCTGGAAGTTATGTCGGAGCCACGTCCCCTCCTCAAAAAACGCGCCAACATCTGTTGAAAAGAAAAGGAAAGACAGAAAAGGGATGAGAAGTGTGGGCCTGCTCCTGACAGGTAACTCGGGCAGGCAGTTCGCTGTGATGGCCTTGCAGGAGCTGGCTAAGGGCAGACACGGCCCAGGAAGGGGGTCCAGGCTGGGCAAGTGTCAGGCCAATGGACACTGCTGTGGGTGAACTGTGCTCAAGTGCTGACCTCTGTAGCTGTGAACGTGACCTTGTTTGGAAGCAGCTCTTTGCAGATGTAACTAGCTAAGTTGAGCTCACTGGGCAGGCCTCATCTCTTTATGACTGGTGTCCTGACATGAGGAAAAGAGAGAAGGTAACAGCACGTGAAGAGAGACAGATGGACGAGACGGGCATGTGACGACTGAGGCAGAGACAGGAGTGATGTGGCTACAAGCCCAGGCACCTGGGGCCACCAGAGCTAAGGGACACAGAAGGAAACTCCCCATGGGGCCTCAGGGAGAGTGTGATTCTGCCAACACTGGGGTCCTGCTGACATCGGGGTGTCTGACTTCTGGCCTCCAGGAGGAGAGAGAACACTCCTGTTGCCTTGAGCCCCTGTGTGGTCCTTTGTCCCAGATACCAGGGAACTGATAAGAGCCCTTATTTCATCACCACGAATGTTCTGAAAAAAGTCATGGTCCGGCAGAATATGGAAGAAAAGCAAGCAGACAGCATTTCTCAAGCCCCTGTCATGGTGGGCTTCCTTCTCTTCACTTTACTGTGTGCGGTGCCTTCCTCCCTCCTACTCACCCTTCACCCTTCCCAGCTGCTGGGCCCTGAACTCTCCGAGAGCCCCCTAACATCTACGAGGAAGTGGGAGCTGAGACCACCTGAGGGAGGACACGAGCCTGGGCCACCAGTACCACCTGTAGGCACTCGTGTCCTGCAAGCGTTGAGTGACGTTTGGGGTGTTGCATCCCCGGACCCGTACTGAGTGTCAGGCCTGTCCGGCTCTGTAGCACGTTATGACTGTGGATGGCTGAGGCCCCGTCACCAAAACCCCTCCAGGTCTGCACTTTCCCCATCACTGCCGGGGTTCCCCCCAACTTTGTATTCTGTGGCCCCATGTTTTCTTTCACTAACTCAAATAGTTTTGGACTAAAAACGCTGGCCCTGGGCGGGTGGGTACTCCTCCTTGTTCTGGCGGCCTTGTGGACACAGGTCCCTCCTGAGTATGTGACCCCATTCTCTCCATGGCCAGGCCACTACCAGGTCAGCCTCATGTAATAACCTCCAGGTGTCTGCACAGAGGAGGTAAATACCAAAGGTACCTACTTGTTAGCCTTAGTGGCACACACACACCTGTGTCACGGGTGGAGAGGGTGCTACTGTGGCCACTCCATGAGCCTTGTGCTCTGCACCCCCGCCCCGCCCTGAGCATTCAATACCAACAGCACCGGACAACTTCACTGAGGACTACACTGGGAGAAGTTTGCATGGGGCTTCCGGGGCCACGTTCCTGAAACTGTGGCCATTACCAACACACACAGTGGCACAGGCTCCTGTGTGGTTAGGGGCAGGGCAAACACACAGACAAGCTGCAAGAACAGTTCAAAGACCTTGCTAGCCCTTGTCTGGATGTCCCACTTCAAAAATGGTACACTTGTTCACTGTATTTGTCCCCTACCACCAGCCTGTCTGTCTGTCTATACAGGCATCCATCCATCAATCCATCCATCGATCCATCCATCCTCCATCCATCCGTTGTCTATCTATCCATCTATCTACCTGCCATAGATCTATTTTCTATTTATACTTTTCACATCTGTATATGCACATTTTCATATAAAAATGTACATACAGATATTTAGCGTAGTGTCTCTCTGTACATGGTGCCAATGGTTTGTGCTCCACCACTGACCCAGGGTTGGGGGTTCAAGCTCCCCCAGAAGCTCCACTGAAGAAGGCCTGGTGGTCTGCTTCCACAAAGGGTACAGCCTGGAAACCTCTGCAGCAGGTCTACTCTGTAACACATGGAGTTGCCGTGATTGGAATCAACCCCAAAGCAAGGGATTTGGAGTTTCATTTGCTTATACATACATGTAGATATGCAATATGACAAAGAAGAGTAATTACTGACCTATATGTGCACACACAAACACCTTTCTTGGAAACTGATATGAGATACACATGCCCATGCAAATGCCCACACATGCACACACACAGAGACTGTCACAAATAAGCAGGCCCCGTAGTGGGCCCACTACACAGCCCTCCTCCACACTGGGAAGGAAGGGGAAGGAGCAGGAGGGAGGGGAAGGAGGGGAAGAGGGAAGCGAAGGGAGGGGAGAGGAAGGGAGGGGACAACAAGGTTGACTGCCTTAGTCAGGCACCTGTGTCCTACCAGACAGTGTGTTTTGAGACTAAGGGTCGTGTCTTTGTGGCTTTAGTCAGTAAGTGTTTTGTTACTTTGTGCTGCTCTAACAGAAAATACCACAAATGGGTGACTTTAACTAACAGGAGTTTATTCTCTTACAGTTTGGAGGCTAGAAGTCCGAGTTCAAAGTGGCAGCTCTAGGGGCTGGGTGAAAGCCCCTCGACCTTGGGGTTTAGCTCTGCCTCTTGCTCCTGGCCCACTGAAGCTGGAGGCTTCTTTTCACCCAGGCAGCTGCTGGCTGCTGAGGCTGGTGAACCCAAGGTCAAAAAGCAAAAAGGCACAGTCGTGATATCGCCAAACCACATGGCAGACCATTGATGCAAATCCATTAAGAGTCCAAAGATCTGCAGACAACATGGCAGGCTGCTGAATGACACTCGGCTACATGCAGGGGCCAAGCATGCCAGAAAGCTGCAGAGACCTTTCCCAAGGCTTCTCCTTATATTCTGGGAGCAGCCCACATGCCTAAGGCAGCTACTCAGCTGCTCCAGTAGATTCCACCACGGAGGTGATCATGAGTCTCACCATGGGGAATGACTCCATCCAGCTGCCCAGCCACTCAGAACCAGGCCCAGCCACATTGACAGCCTTCACCACCACAGCAAGTGTTGGTTGGACTGAGCCAAGCTGAATCTGAGCATCTTGATAGCTATAGTGCATTCTCCTCCAGGTGAAATTCACTCACATTCCAAGTCGGAACTTCTCCATTTCATTCCCCTACAAAGTGAGCATCTTGAGAGAAAAGATGTTGCACCTGCTGTGATAGTTGGAGCTGTGTGTCAACTTGGCTGAACCCCAGTTCTGTGTGGTTGTTCCCATGATGGGATCGGATGACTGTGTTCTGAGTGGCCAATCTGTTCAGGGAGAGTTTCCCTAGGGGTGTGGCCTGCTTCCAAGATATCCAGGGACATCCTGGAAAGAGAGACATTCTTCTGTGGATCGGGATTCTATTGTGCTGCCTACAACTGTCCATGAGTGAGCAGTCTACTGTTTGGCCTGGAGATCTTGGATTTGTCATTCGTTGGAGTCAACAGCCAGTGTACTGCCTGCCAGCGGTGAGCTTCTCGGCCCCTGTGGGGAAAAGTCTCCAGCCTGACGTTTGCTCCAGGGACTTTGGACTGGCTGGCTTCTATAAGTTTGTGAGCCATTTTCCTAAGAATAAATCTCTCTCTCTCTCTTTACATATGTATAAGCTTTGCTGGTTTTTGTTTCTTTAGAGAACCCAGTCTAACACACCTGCTTAGACAACACTGTTAATTAAAGGAGTAATTTGTCAATGAAAGTGTTGAACAAGGCATCATTTAGAATGCTGTGTTCAACAGAATTCAGTGACCTGCAGTTTAACAGATGCTCTTAATGCCTACTGATTCCTTTCCTGTTCATGGTGGCTTAGTCAGCCAGAGAACATTCACACAGGTTGATCACTTGCATGACACAGTTGTCCCTGACCCGGTCCCTCTGCTTGTTTTACCCCTGGTCCGCTAATGTCAAGGAACTCTGGTGGCATACTGCCAAAGGCATTTGACTGCTAACAAGAAGGTTGGTGGTTCAAACCCACCAGCCACACCTCGGAAGGAAGATTAGGCAAGCTACTTCCATAAGGATTTACCACCTCAGAAACCCAAAGGGGGTTGCTATGAGTTGAAATTGACTCGATGGCACTGGGTTTGGTTTTTGGTTTCTGGCCTGCTAATGTCACAGTGTTCTGAAAGTTACTGTCACTAGGAATTGTGTTACTTGTTCATTTGTAAAAGCATTTAATTATTTAACATGTGCCTGTTGCAGACACTAGGCTGTTTCCACCCATTCTGCTCATAGGTAGTGAACTGCTGCGTCCTCTCTGGTTCCCACCATGCACTCCTGATCTTCCAGCTCCCATAGCTGACCTGTGGAGCCACACAGAATTCCTTGACTGTATGTCCTCTTGGGTGTGCAAATGGTTAATGTGCTTGGCTGCTAACAGAAATGTTGGAGGTTGGAGTTCACCCAGAAGTGCCCCAGAAAAAAGGCCTGGCAACTTACTCGCACTTCTGACAACATATAGATTCAGTGAGAAGTACCTTTGACTTTGGGCCAGGGACACATTCACAAGGGATGTGAGGGCTGATCCATGCAGACAGGGGCACACTCACAGGGCATGGGGACATGGATGCTGGTGGATACAGACAGGTGCACACTCACAGGGCACGGGGACATGAGTGTTGATGGTTGCAGGCAGGGACACACTCAAAGGGCACAGGGATATGAGTGTCAATGGACAGAGACAGGTCCACACTCACAGGGTGCAGGGGACGTGAGTGTTGATGGATGAAGACAGGTGCACACTCATGGCATGGGGACATGAGTGTTGATGGGTGCAGGTAGGTACACACCCACAGGGCACAGGGACATGAGTGCTTATGGATGAAGATAGGGCCACACCACAGGGCATGGGGACCTGAGTGCCGACCGAATTCCCACCACCTTTCAAACAGAATCTCTCACTGGATTATGCAACAGCAACATTTTTGAGGTAGATGTTACTGTCCTGGTCAGTATGAGGAAACTGAGGCACAGAGTGGTAAGGCCACATGGCTTCTCAGAGAGCCGATAGTAAAACACAGATATGCAGA